GGACGCAAACGAGGATGTTTGCGTCCCGCGCTTCCCCTGCTATAGATTAGGCGAGTTAGGCGGCTGCGAGGCCCTCGTGAGCGCGAGGCCTTAGGCGTCCGCCTAACTCGCCTAATTAAAGAGCCGCCTCTGCTGATATGTACTTTTGCTTGTGCTGGACACAATCAAACACAGAAAATGCTTGAGGTTATCTGTCCTTTAACTACACACAGCTGCCTGCCACTTCACAGAGTGACCCATACGCCTGTGTTTTCAGAACCGGAATGTTAATGTTCTGTAAATGATCATGTCGGAATATTCTGATCCCTGGGTTATCTGCTATCATTTCATTGCTCTTCGCTGAAGTGTTTAAAGATTGATGAGGTGGCTCTTAATAACATGTCTCAGTCAATTCAAATCAGAGCTGGCTTCTGAGACTTGGAGGAACAATGAGTCATGTTCCAGCCACACTTTACCGTCCACTGAGATCGGCACTTCCCTTTGATCACACGGAAACATGCTGGACAGAAATGAAGGCTAATCAGAGTTATAAGTGAACAAACTAGATTGGGGTGAAGCTATTCCACTATGACAGCGGAATGCAAAATAGTCCAAGGCTTGGCAGTGCCATTAATGTGGAGCCTCTAGGCTGGAAACCAGTTGAGAGGCCAGAACTTATAAGAAATATGCAATGTTTTGGCATGTATCATCATTCTTTATTATTGATAAACAGGAGTGTAAAGATTAAATATGGGGTCCCTTTCACTGGCCTCTACATCACTACTGTGTCCTGCAGTGACATCTGGGCTAGAATATTAAACCACAGCACGTGAGAGGGGCCAGGTATCCAACATTTCTCTTATTTTTGCAAGAGTGAAGGATGTAGGAACAGTCAGTGGGACAGGTGAATATAACAGGTCTTCTTTTGCAGGTGGGTGACAGATTCACTTTTAGCCTTCATTTACACGAGAAAAGGCCGGCACGTACAGCTTCGTGCCGCATGCACAGCCGTATCTGGCAGCTCCCGGGAAGGACAGGTGCTGGGTGTGATTAGTACGCAGCCCCTGTCCTTGTCTATGGGAGTACGCGGCCATACGGTGCCCTATGCTCACCTGAATTGCAGGTCCCTACGGGTGCGGGTGTCCCGGCTCGGACGCAGACAGGATCCATTCTGTCAGTGTACAAGTACGCTCAACCGCACTCGCATGGACGTGTAGGGAGCTGCCCGATATGGCCGCGCATGCAGCACGAAGCTGTACGTGCCGGCCTTTTCTCGTGTGAATGAGGCATAAAACCCAACTGGGCTTTCACTCTAAATCATCTAAATACATTTTAGCTACATCAAAACAAAAGGCATTCAAAGTCTTACAGGCCATTTTCTTTAAGCTGCCCATACACTGCACGATTATCGTACGAATAAAACCCTTCGACGATCGGAAAGCAGCCACAGCCTGAGCAGAAAAACATGTCCCCTGCCAGCATGCTGTAGGGAAGTAAGCTCTGCAATCAGTAAGGAGCATAAGCTTTGCTGGTTGAAGAGCTCTTAATCTGCAAGCTGTAGCTGCTTTCTAAAACCAACTGTAAGACTTTGCACACCACTTGTGTTGGTGTACCTAGAATGTATTTAGCTGACTTCAACTGAAAATTAAGTTGGGCTGTTTAGGGAACGAGCTTTGCTGTATTTGGCAGGTATTGGGGGAGGGGAGCAATTAAAGCTGACCAAACACATGAGGTCAAACATAGCAAAGTCTTTCTGACCCTGGCTGCCGGGTGGTGGTGGTGGGGGGTGTTATTCCATAGGGATGGACAGGACGGTTAGTCTCTTTAGCAATCCTGCCGCTGGTGATTTGTCTGTAGTTGCAGGGTCACCTATCTGACATCAACCTATGAGTCTGTGTATGTCAGGGGAGTACGGCTGGGCCGTGAGTGGAACCCCTTGGCAGGGGCGCCAAGCCAAAGTCCGAGGTCGAGGTACACAGGGAAAATCCAAGAAGAGTAGTCGGGTCCAATCCGGGTCGAGGCAGGCAGCTAGGTTCAGAAACGGAAGGGCAGGCCAAAGGGTCGGTAATAGGGAGTCCAAGCAAAGGGTCAGGAAGTGAGACGGTTCAAGGCGCTGGGAGATCAAACCATAGGGATAGAATAACTCAGCAATGAGCCAGGGCTCTGACTGGGCTTTTATACCCAGTGGGGAACTAAGACCACCCCCTGGTTGCTGAGGCAACCAGGAAGCTTCTCCATTAAGGAGCCAATGGCAAGAGAAAGGCAGAGGGTGTGTGCTGGGAACCTCCCCCAGCAAGGATCACACCTGACACCAGTAATGGGCGCAGATGCACTACGCGCTCGTAGCCTGTCCACCGCGCACGCACCTGCCGCGCATGCGCACTCACAACCCTGGCACCAGGGGTCCTACCAGGAAGGAGAACCTGTGCCCTCCGCCGCACATGGCAACCCCGAGGAGTGGTAAGACCCCTGGTACCCTGACAGTGTAGTGAGTGTTGTCCAAAGACCTGTACTGAAGTAAGAGGAACAGGCGTTTTTGAAACCAAATCCCCTGCTTTCCTCCATCCCTCGTTGAGGTTTGATGTACGGAACAGTATAAGGAAATATACTATTTATAGGGAATGTATAGTGATTTGGTACATAGTTTATTCCGCATTAAAAGATCACATAGTTAAAAAGGTATAGTTAGGCCCCTGAGCACTTCTCAGCTCACTCAATTTGCATATCAGCTGTCTAGTACACATTAGCTGAATTTCCCTTGCTATCTTTAAAGGTAGCCATAGTCATAAGACGCCGGTCAGAAGACTCCTCTACACTACGAGGCTCTGTTACTTGATGCTATTTTGCACTCTACTCAGTAGCTGCTGGACTGTGTTTGATATCAGCAGAAGGTCAGAGAACTGAGTAGCCTGTTCCAGCCTCTATGTATTTACCAGAGGTCACTAGAAGATTGCACACAATTTTCCACCCTGTTCAGTTCCTGCAAGTTGCAGTTCTGCATTCGCTTATGTAGGTCCCCTGTCTCTTCTTGATGGTGCCGCTTAACCATGAATGCGGGTACCGTGTCTAGTATAAGTAAAAAGATAATTTCTGCATAGTGAGTAGCAGACAGTATTCAGTGACTCCTATTCAGAGTCATCTGTGGAGGACGCGAGGGCTGAGCCTTGTCATTCTCCGGCAGACATCCTTGTCAGGGTGGTTTTCTTTGTGCGCTTCCCAACAATAAACCTGCAGTACATTTTGTGATGTGTGATTTTTTTTTTTCTTAGAGTAGATAGGGTTGCAATTCGTTTTTTTCTCTTAGCATAGAAGCACTTTTCTACAGACATTGTCTATAGCAATTGTAGAGGTCAGAGAAGGCGACTGGTAGAGCTTTTGAAAAGTACAAACCAAAGCTCATGATACGTTTAACAAGGCTGAAATGTTTGCAGACACGAGCTAGGGCATGTTTTTCTTTTCAGAACACCAGGAACTGGGGACATGTTTCCACCACAAGACATATAAGTGGATAGAAACTGTAATGAAAGGAAATGTAATAAAATATCACTGCTAGGCCTGCAGAATAAATTGCTAATTGTTAGTCGGTTGTCAAAGTTTGGCCACCAGCACCACAATTTGCAACAAAGCAATTTGTGCGCTGTACCATTATCTGCCACAAAGTCACGCCTGCAACCCCTTCAACCCAAATATAGGCCTTAAGCTGGCCATACACAATTAGATTTCCGAACGAACGTTCGTATGAAAGATCTTTCCTTACCACCCGATAATGCCATCAGACACTTGACGAATGTCCATCGAAATTTTGTTTGATTTTAATGTTCGATTTTTAAATTAAAGGAGTTTTCCTAACAACCACATTCGCTGTTGGAATATTTAATTTGTTCAAAAAAAATGTCCCTCCTGCTCAGTGGCATCACAAGGGGGGTGAGAAGGGGGGCGGTGCGGCCCGGGTGCCACCATTGGAGGGTGTCAGCCCCTGTAAAAAGTCAGGCACTCGGTCATGGACAACAGTGTCAGGAGAGAGGAGGGGACCCGGAAGCATACCTCATCCCGCCGGGTGAACGTCCCCTCCTCTCTCTGCCAACATCCATCACCAAGATGGCCACCGACAGGCGTCAATAAGATGACTGCGCATGCACAATGACATCACGGCGGGGTGTCGCCCCTTCTCCGCTCCGGGTGAAACCCGGCCTCGGGGCGCCCCTGCTCCTTCTTTTTTCGTCACTACAGTCTAAATCGATTGTCGATTTGACCCCATCAACTAATAGAAATTTAAAAGAAAGTTCTTTCATATGAAAGTTCTTTCGAAAATCTAAGCAGTGTATGGCCAGCTTTAGTATGCCTTCTGTCTGCAACTCAGTGCCACCATTCTCCTCTTCTGTGCTCCTTCCTTGTCTCCAGTGTTTCCTAAATGTCCTTTTTCTCTACCCTCTGCTCCTCCTGCCCAAAGTTCTCACCCTTTGCACTCCTGCTCTTCTTATCCACCATTACTGCTTACCTCATCTATGACGATGAGGCTACAAGGTTCAATTACATAACTAAGTTATGTCGTAGGACAGTATTCAGTAGGGCAACTTCTGCCTGCCATAGTGATACTAGACTAGACACTACAGCAATGTGTCATAGTTCTTTTAGGGTTAAACCCTTCCCCTTCCTCTGAAGGTGCACCCCATGTATGTTACTTGTTCTGGCTGGTGCTGAAAGCGTCCTCTCAACCTCACACAAGTGAAGCAGATATATACATATTTGTTCATTTATGACCTTGGGCTCTCAATCTGCCCAGAGATCTTCTGCCTCTTTTCTTCCCCCTCACATTAAAATTACACTGCTTCCTCTTTTTCTTTCCAGCCTTGATAAAAACCCCCTCGCTCTCTTATCCTCTCATTCCCTCCCCCCCGCCCTCCTCTCCTCTCCTTTCCCCCCCCCCCCCCCCCCACTGTCTGCAATCTGCTCCCGCTGCCTCCTCTCTGTCTCTCTCCTTCTTTGAACATTCCATTTTTGCATTCTGTACCCTTGTCCATTCTGTACCCTTGTCCCCTCTCTCCTTGATGCTCTTCCGTGACCTGGTTCACCTGACACCTATGATCATATCACGGGCTTTCCATCACATTGCCCCTCTCCTCTATTCTTTATCTCATATGCCCCGTTGTTCTTCTCTAATCTCCCAGCAATTTCTTATCTGTTTCACATACCTTTAAGTTTGTTGTCCTTTCCTGATTTTTGGGCCACTGTCCCGCAGATTTCCCATCCCTTCCCTTTCAAAGATCTCTATGAATTTACTGTTGTGTTCACCTTCTGTACACCTTTTCCCACTTGCCTTTATCACACATCCACTGAGATTTGATCCTGATGGCCCTCCCTGTCCCCTTCTTACTCAATCAAATCCTTCTTGCCAAACCCCAACTATTAATTCCCCATCACCCTATGCCCCCCCCC